CATCTCTAATGGAGATGTCAAAAGACAAATATTAAATGTTAATTTGATGGCTGACGTGACAATGTCAGATTACTCTTTTTCCAATTAATTTTTCTTTTTGTTATAAATGATATTTATTGGACCCATTTTAAAAAGAAATCAATTAAAATAAATTTTCAAAATCTATAATTGGTGTATTAATGAAACCCACATAATAAAATAATTAAAATGATTTGACATCACCTTCTTTTTTTTTTTTTTTTTTTTTCCAACGACATCATATTTTCTCATATATCAAATTTGACATATGAAAACTCATATGTCAATCCATATAAGATTGACATTTCGGTTGAAACTTGTTGCTACCTTCAAATTTAATTGTATGATTTTTCACCAACAGCATAACATTCTTCAATTATCTTGAAAGTCCACGAAAAGTCGAGGACACATTGGTAATCTGGTACTCTCACGTAGATTGTAGAATGTTCTACGTAGCAGTCGTGACAAAAAACTGAGAAAAAAACCCTAAACCAAATGCCACCGCAAAATTAGACGCACTGTTGTTTCATTGCAGCATTGTGGCGAGCGAGGAAGCCACGTCCATTTCTCTTACTACTTACGTGTTGCCAAATTTTGCACCATTCAGCTTCCTCCACTTGGCACCTAGGGCCTCAAGGTCACTCCTCTATATAATCCCACTCCAAGTCTCCAAAGCATGCAACTTCCACAGTCCAAAAACACACACTTTACAGCCCTTCTTAAAAGTGCATTAGTTGATTAATTTTCCTACTTAATCCTGTTTCATTAAGAAACACAATGTCTGCAACAGTTTCCATGCAATTAATCTTCACAAGCTCTGTAGCTTACGGAGTTGGTAAAAGCAGAGTGAACCAGCTGATTGCTCCTGCTAATTATCTAGTTAGTCTACGTAAGCATGTTCACATAAGAGTAATCTCCATGGCCAAGGTAAATTTTTACTCTCTATATATGTCTTTGATTAATCTAGCATTATGCATGTATTAGGGTTAGGGTTTTCATCATGTTTGGGTTAATTGCAGGATGATCAGAAGGAGCAACCAACCACGTATGCATCAGAAAATTCAGAACCAGCTCCTTCATCACCTTTACATCCTCGTCCTTCTCCTAAGGTAGCTACTCCCTCAACCTATGTAGGGAAGCTTTCTTTAATTTGTCAAATTTAATTACTTTGTCTGACTCTATTAAACCACACATTTAGCGCCTACTAATTTTGAAATCAAAGTTCAAATTCTGCAAGATAAGCATTTTAATTATATGCTATGAAGCAATTTGATGAGAGAATATTGTGGGTGGAATTATGATTGAATCATAAATAAAAATTATAAGCTCATGAAGAGATATTATATATATATATATATATATATATATATATATATATATATTGACTCTCAAGGATATATACATGACAAACATATATGTGACATATATATTTCTCTTTGTGTGCAGGTTACCCCAAAGATTTCAAACGTGCTTGCATTTAGCGGGCTAGCACCGGAGAGAATCAAGGCAGGCTAGCAATGGTGGGATTTGTTGCAGCTCTAGCAGTGGAGCTATCCAAGGGTCAGGATGTGTTTGCTCAGATATCGAACGATGCAGGGATCCCATTGTTTCTTGGCACCAGCATTTTATTGTTAGTGGCATCCCTGGTTCCTTTGCTGAAAGGGGTGAGTGTGGAGTCCAAATCAAAGGGGCTCATGACTTCAGATGCTGAGTTGTGGAATGGAAGGCTGGCAATGTTGGGACTTGTAGCTTTGGCCTTCACTGAGTATGTGAAGGGTGGGACCCTAGTGTAGAGTAAATATCTTAAAAGAATGTAACATATTGTAATTACAATTTACAAATTAATATAAATGTATAGTAGAGAAGTGCCAAGGAAATTATCTCAAAAGTGAGAGTTTTCATAGACTCTCACCTCATGATTTGGCACTATATTTCATATTGTTCTTATGAGAATTGACGTTTATTTTGAAATATAAAGAGTTCATAAAAAGTCTCATTGTGAGAGAATAACTTTGACATCCGGATCCCTTCCTCCTAATCCACTAAGGTCAGGAATCAGGACCGTTGAAATTTGATCCAATGGCTACAAACAATGATCTATTTTAAAAGTTATAATAATTTTAGCGGTTGAATCAAATTTCAATGGTTCAGATCCCCGAACTTAGTGGATTAGAATGAAGGTATCCGGAGAGCATCCCTTTCCATTTTTCTATGTAAAATGATCAATATAAGTCATGTACGATCATCAAAGGTCTACGATTATTTTTATCCAACTCCAAGAGCCTAAATATATTAACTAGTCAAATTCATGAAATAAATCAAATAGCGTCAATCGCGAATGAGCACATAGTAATATATTAATCATTGGTATGTGTGAGTATGATGTCATGTCAACCATGGATGATCGAACATGACTTATATGGAATCCAAACAATCAATATTTAAACTACGTCACATGCCCATGAAGAAATTAGTGTTAACATCTTTTGTAAATGAGATTAAATATCTAAAATTGTGATTGTGTAAATAAAAGTTGTTTTTTGAAACCATGATTTTATAATTTAATCAAAACAAAAAGGGCGCACATTCAATTGTTGGAGTTTTCAAAGTGAGTTAATCGCTTTAAAATTTTAGAGGAAGATGCATGATTTGTTAAAAGCCTAAAACACCATGAAATTCCCTCAAAACCATAAAAATCCTTCACTTTATACATTTTTAAAAATAAAATCATAATTGAATAACTTATTTAAAACAACTACAGATTTGTGTTAATTTATTTAAAATCTTGGTTAAATATCCTTGGACTTTCATAAATTCGTTTAAAATGCTAATTAAGTATTCTTGAATTTCTAATTGCTTTCAATTTCTTTCAAAATCTAAAGACTTAAAGTACCTTCATAACTTACGAACAAAATGGCATGCACACACCACGGACAACCTTCAAAAAACTTTTTGGAACACTCGATTGTCACCCTCTCATTTTCATTTTTTTTTTTAAATACAATGCTAAACATTTTTTCAATGAAATACGTACGGAGTTTCTCTTTAAAACCAAAGAACCTCCAACTAAACCTTTGACCAACCCGATTAATATGGTTTTCCACGGGTAGGATAGATATGTTTGCGGTGGTGGTGCAACATGTTTTCCAAATAAATCATTGGTATTACTGTATCTCCAAAAAAAAAAAACGCAATGGACTCAAGTATGAATGATAAAAATATGGAAAGAACAATGTGACATATTGCTGATAAACTTTTTCCAAACTTATAAAGAACTAGAAATACACTAAATTTGGTAGAAACACGTGCAGTAAAAGCAAGAAACCCAAAATTAGTGCCTTTTCATATTTCAAATTTGATAAGAAGATAAAAAACTAAATTAAAATACCTAATTTTATGCAAATTTGAAGACATGACAATGCATCCAATAACGTGTATCATATATCTGATTCTTTAACTTTTTATTAATTAAATTGAGAAATAAGCATAATATTCCTGATTTATTGTAATCGTTTAAATTAATGTAATTATTCAGTGTATACAAAATTGTAATTCGCATAGTTTTTCCAGGACATTAGTTCTCATATTTCATGTTAATATGTAATAATTTGTAATGCCTTCCATTGCTTCGTCTATATTTGTACACGTTAATTTCGCCTCCTTTGTGCATTCATCTCCAAGATTTTGTGCATTAGTCTTTTATTTTATTTTTTTCTTTTTCAAAATCATTAGCTCCCCTTATAAGAATTAATTGTATATATCAAACATGCAATAATGGTATTTTTGGCACCTGAAAAATGTAAAATGTGTAAAGTAGAATATAATCAATGAATTAGCTTATGTAAAATCCTAGTCACCGATTTTTTTTTTTTTTAGTAAAAATATTATGTCGAATTTTTTTATGGAGAATTGAATTTAAGGGGCTAAACTGCTAAAGTACTATTTTCAGCAAAAATTACTCTGCTCATTCTCACAAGTCATATCGCTACGTTTATTGATATTAATTTTATTCTGCCAAAGTTATTTCCTCCCAGTTTGCGACTTGCATGGTACCCTAAATTCTTTGTCGATGCTTGAATTTGTCACCAAAGTTTTGCATTTAAATCCGGTAAAAACAAGAAGACCAAATCCCCACAAACTCTCCCACAAAGCTATGGTCAAACGTAAATTACGTAATTAAGAGGAGGTAATTAAACCCTCCAACATTTCTTGACTACTTTCTAAGAGCATCTTTAATGAAGATGTCAAAAGATAAATGTTAAATGTTAATTTGATGGCTAACGTGACAATGTCAGATTTCTCTTTTTCCAGCCGATTAATTTTCAAAATCTATAATTGGTGCATTAATGAGACCCACATAATAAAATAATTAAAAATTATTTGACATCACTTATTTTTTTCAACTGACATGATCACATTTTCTCATATGTCAAATTTGATATATGAAAACTCATATGTCAATCCACATAGAATTGACATTTCGGTTGAAGTTTGTTGCTGCCTTCAAATTTAATTGTATAACTTTCCACTCAAAATTTGACATCTCATTTGGAGATGGTCTAACCCATCAACGGCATAACATTCTTCAATTATCTAGAAAGTCCACGAAAAGTTAAGGACACATTTGTAATCTGGTACTTTCACGTAGATTGTAGAATGTTCTACGTAGCAGTCGTGACCAAAAAGTGTGAAAAAAACCCTAGAAACCAAATGCCACCGCAAAATCAGACGCACTGTTGTTTCATTGCAGCATTGTGGCGAGCGAGGAAGCCACGTCCATTTCTCTTACTACTTACCACAATATGTGTGGAACAAGAGAACCCCAGTTTTGACTGGGAAACCCTAATGAGGACGTACGTGTTACCAAATTTTGCACCATTCACCTTCCTCCACTTGGCACCTAGGGCCTCAAGGTCACTCCTCTATATAATCCCACTCCAAGTCTCCAAAGCATGCAACTTCCACAGTCCAGAAACACACACTTTACAGCCCTTCTTAAAAGTGCATTAGTTGATTAATTTTCCTACTTAATCCTGTTTCATTAAGAAACACAATGTCTGCAACAGTTTCCATGCAATCAATCTTCACAAGCTCTGTAGCTTACGGAGTTGGTAAAAGCAAAGTGAACCAGCTGATTGTTCCTGCTAATTATCCAGTTACTCTACGTAAGCATGTTCACATGAGAGTAATCTCCATGGCCAAGGTAAATTTTTACTCTCTATATATGTCTTTGATTAATCTAGCATTATACATGTATTAGGGTCAGGGTTTTCATCACGTTTGGGTTAATTGCAGGATGATCAGAAGGAGCAACCAACCACGTATGCATCAGAGAATTTAGAACCAGCTCCTTCATCACCTTTACCTCCTCGTCCTTCTCCTAAGGTAACTACTCCCTCAACCTATGTAGGGAAGCTTTCTTTAATTTGTCAAATTTAATTACTTTGTCCGACTCTATTAAACCACACATTTAGCGCCTACTAATTTTGAAATCAGAGTTCAAATTCTGCAAGATAAGCATTTTAATTATATGCTACGAAGTAATTTGATAAGAGAACATTGTGGGTGGAATTAGGATTGAATCATAAATAAAAATTATAAGCTCATGAAGAGATATTATATATATATATATATATATATAAACTCTCAAGGATATATACATGACAAACATATATGTGACATGTATGTTTCTCTTTGTGTGCAGGTTACCCCAAAGATTTCAGACGTGCTTGCATTTAGCGGGCCAGCACCGGAGAGAATCAACGGCAGGCTAGCAATGGTGGGATTTGTTGCAGCTCTAGCAGTGGAGCTATCCAAGGGTCAGGATGTGTTTGCTCAGATATCGAACGGTGCAGGGATCCCATTGTTTCTTGGCACCAGCATTTTATTGTCAGTGGCATCCCTGGTTCCTTTGTTGAAATGGGTGAGTGTGGAGTCTAAATCAAAGGGGCTCATGACTTCAGATGCTGAGTTGTGGAATGGAAGGCTGGCAATGTTGAGACTTGTAGCTTTGGCCTTCACTAAGGATGTGAAGGGTGGGACCCTAGTGTAGAGTAAATATCTTAAGAGAATTTAACATATTGTAATTACAACTTACAAATTAATATAAATGTATAGTAGAGAAGTGCCAAGGAAATTATCTCAAATGTGAGAGTTTTCATAGACTCTCACCTCATGATTTGGCACTATATTTCATATTGTTCTTATGAGAATTGACGTTTATTTTGAAATGTAGAGAGTTCATAAAAAGTTTCATTGTGAGAGAATAACTTTGACATCCGGATCCCTTCCTCCTAATCCACCAAGTTCAGGAATCAGGACCGTTGAAATTTGATCCAACGGTTACAAACAGAGATCTATTTTAAAAGTTATAATAATTTTAACGGTTAGATCAAATTTCAATGGTTCAGATCCCCGAACTTAGTGGATTAGAATGAAGATGTCTGGAGAGCATCCCTTTCCATTTTTCTATATAGAATGATCAATATAAGTCTGTTGGAAATGTGCCCTAAAACCAATCATATGATGATACTTTACGAACATTTCAAACTAATGTAGTTTAAATGTAAAGGGCAAAGATTATTGTTTGAGCCGTCTCATATAAATGTTATATGCTTAAACGATAAGTCCAAGGAATATGTGATTGGAAGAATGCGATCTAAAGAAGTTAGATTCATGAGACCATTCTTTCGTTGACACATCCTAAACGTTCCTGATCATAGGATTGTCAATTGGGCATTGACAGTCCGTTAAGATCAGTACGTGCTATGTCTTCTCTCAGGGAGAGTGACTAGTCTCGAGTCATTGGTGTGTGTGACATCAAGACAAGTACGTAGGTGCTCAATAGAGAATGAGTTCACTGAACACGATCAACGAAGAGTTCTCATATTCATGTCACATGAGAACTCATGGTTGGGATAATGCAAATTAGTCTTTTGACCTGAGGCATCACAGTTGTCTTGTGGTTAGGTCCTTAATCTTTGATTATGTCAAAGTCACTCCATCAGGAGGGTGTCCACGGCATCGTTGGGGTTAAGCCACTTAGCCATGGAGGCAAGTGAATGCGCAACAAGGGATCTCTAACCTTCAAACTGTTTGAGGGAGAATACTCTATGATATGATTAAGAATCTTTGGCCAAAGTACGAATGAGATTTAGGAATGTGTTCCAAATCACATTCAAGGTAATCATATAAGCACAAGACTCACATTGGATAGTAGACATGAATAAACTATCAAACCAAACAATGTGGTCAAGAGTATTGTATTAGAGAAAGACCGTATTGCATTTGTAATCCTAAAACTGAATAGGTTCTCCACCTCTTCTGATTAGCTTGGGTAACCATGACATGCTGCTAGGCGTCAACCATGGTTTGTGGAAGCCCTAAAAGTGTATTATCACTAACGGGAGAATTGAAAGTAAGTTTCAATTCACAATCGATTAGAAAGAGTTTTAATCGCCCACTGCCTCGCTAAAAGGAACCTAATGGATCGTTCACCGAGTAAGGTAGAGTTTGAAGAAACAACGGAGATGAGTAAGAATAATTAAATGGTTTAATTATTTATCTAAGGCTAGGATTAATTAATATGTTAATTAATCAAACGAATAAGTTCGTTAAAGACCTCGGGTTAGTTTTGGGCCGCAAGGCCCAATGGGATTTGAATGTCAAGCCCATTAACTCAAGTTGTATGACAACTTGAATAAACAAAGGGCTTGAAAGCCCAATAAACCTATAGGCCAGCCATGTTAGAAGAATAGGGCTTTTGGTCCATTAGGTCACTTATTTGAAGGGACTATATAAAGAACTTTATAGTCTAAAATTTACTAAGGGTTATTTTTGGGGAAAGGATGAGAACACAAGCTCTCATTTCTCTCTAAAATTTCGGCCACCTTGGAGGGATCATCTAGCAATCAAACTCCTCCAAGGTCACTCATTTCTTCTTCATTATGCCTTGGTGATGAATCATTAGAGGTTCTCAATTTTGGGAACTTGGAGAAACCTTTTCATCCATCCAAATCCATGGATCTAAGATGCAAGGAATGAAGGCCCTCTCTTTGGGTGATTAGCCTTTGCTTATGCAAAGAGGAATCTACAAAGGTATTGATTTCTCAACTCACTTTGTTTTGAGTTGAGTCTTGGTTCACCTATCTACTAGGCTTTGAAGTTCATGGGTTAAGTTTTGTTTTTGAGTGCATATAAACATGATTCCGCCTTTTAATTGTTAATTGCATGTTGTTGATGTTGCTCAAATGAACTTGTTTTTCACAAATCTTCCTTCAAAGTCATGTACGATCATCAAAGGTCTACGATTATTTTTATCCAACTCCAAGAGCCTAAGGGGGTGTTTGTTTGACCGAATTAAGGGGGATTGGACTAGACTAGACTGTAGTCCCTTGTTTGGTCTGGACAAGGATTAGGTTTAACGGGACTAAAGGGGACTCGCCCCGACTGAACGTTTCACTAAACGTTATTAAGGAGACCCCTCGATTTCAAGCGGACTGTTAGTCCCGTTCTCTCCCTCGCCGCTAATCCCTCGTCGTCTCCCTTCTCCTTCGCCATCTCCCTTCTGATCCGCACCTTTGCCCACTCCTTTGGGCCTTCACTATCCCACCTAAAAGCCTAAACCCATACCTCAAACAAAACTGAAAAACAATCCACTGATTCCCTTCCTTTCTTCTTCATTCAATTCACCCTCTTTCTCAGCAAAATCGTCATGGTTGCAACCACCAGACCACTACCAAACAACCATCACCATAAGCTCGCCATCGATCTCCGCATTCTCGCACAACCCAGACGCAAGTCGGGACCAAAAGCATACCAAATACTCAAGCACCTGCGAATCCCCACATAAATTCAAAACAAAAAGGCAAAATCACTAGAGAATCCTGAGATTTTCCGAGAAAATCAGAGGAGGCGCTACGTGGAGAGCTCCGATGAATCCTCCATGCGAATCTTCTGCATAAGTAAAAGAGGGAGAGGTTAGGGATAAAGTGGACGAAGGGAAAAAAGGAGAGGGGAGGGAGAGAGTTGCCGGAAGAAAATAGGGAGAAGTATGCAGAGAGAGGAAGAATATTCTGGAAAATGGTGAAACAGAATAAAAAGATGGAGATGAGAGGGAGAATGGCGGAGGAAGGGAGGAATAGGCTAGAGAGAGATAATTTTAGGAATAAATAAATAAAAAGATTTTGGCCCTTACAGAAGGATATATGATTCTAGAAACAAATAAAATGATAAATTAATAATAAAATATTAATAAATATAGATAAAATAATATAATATTTGAGTTAGATAATTATCCAACTTCTTAGTCCGACACTGCACCAAACGCTTCACTAAACTAGTCCAACTTAATCCTTGAAGCTAATTTAGTCCAAAACAGTCCGGTGCAACAAACGCACCCTAAATATATTAACTAGTCAAATTCATGAAATAAATCAAATAGCGTCAATCGCGAATGAGCGCATAATAATATATTGATTAAATATCCTTGGACTTTCTTAAATTTGTTTAAACTACGTCACATGCCCATGAAGAAATTAGTGTTAACATCTTTTGTAAATGAGATTAAATGTCTAAAATTGTGATTGTTTAAATAAAAGTTGTTTTTTGAAACCATGATTTTATACTTTAATCAAAACAAAAAGGGCGCACATTCAATTGTTGGAGTTTTCAAAGTGAGTGAATCGCTTTAAAATTTTAGAGGAAGATGCATGATTTGTTAAAAGCTTCAAACACCATGAAATTCCCTCAAAACCATAAAAATCCTTCACTTTATACATTTTTAAAAATAAAATCATAATTGATTAACTCATTTAAAACAACTACAGATTTGTGTTAATTTATTTAAAATCTTGGTTAAATATCCTTGGACTTTCTTAAATTCGTTTAAAATGCTAATTAAGTACTCTTGAATTTCTAATCGCTTTCAATTTCTTTCAAAATCTAAAGATTTAAAATACCTCCATAACTTACAAACGAGATTAAACTCCAGCGAGAAGAAAACAATGCTAAAAATATTATTTAAACAGTTATTATTGCACTCCAAAAAAATGATTGTGCACTCCAATCATGTAGAAATATAAAGAAATTTTTTACACATCAAAGGAGTCCGGAATAATTTTTTTGTAGTGCCAACAGCAATAACTTTTATAATAAAAATATTTTTTAAGAGGAAAAATAAAAAGAACCTCTCACTGGTTAGTTGATTTGATTTTTTTTTTTTTTCCCTTCCAAAAGTTGATACTGAAATTAGATTTACCCTTTCTCTCTCTTTCTCTCTCTCTCTCTAGAAGTGCAAGCATAGCATCAACAGAGAGCGACAGAAAGACAGTTAAGGGCGAGAGCTTTATTTGCCGTACCGCCATCTCCCATTCCCCTCGAGTTCTTCGGCTAATTCTCTCCGAGCAATTGAAGATGGTAGACTTTGCTAGGGTTCAGAAGGAGCTTCAGGAATGCAGCAGAGACATGGAGCGCTCGGGCATCAAAGTCATACCCAAGAACGAAGCCACTCTTGCCCGTTTAATCGGAACAATTCCCGGCCCAATTGGTACCCCTTATGAGGGCGGCACCTTTCAGATCGACATCGCCTTGCCAGGTTCAATTCTCAATTTCCCTTTTCACTGTTTGCTTCTGTTTTGTCATTTTTACTCGTAATTTTGATGTTTTTTCTGTTTGTTTCTCGAGAAAAGGTGAAAAGGTGAATTGGATTGTTGAAAATTGAAACTTTTTGATGAAAGAAGGTCGTTTTAGTAAATATGTTAGTGGGTTTTAGGTGGGTTTGAATAATATTTGCAGCTAAAGAAAAAATAAAATAAAAGAAGATGTTAATTTGTCATTTTTGGGTTGATTAATTTGGAGGGAAGTAAGTTTGTGAGTATTAATTTGTTGAAATTACACTTCTTTTCCTTGTTCTTGTGTGTTCTGGCTGTGTGGTGTTTGATAATTTGGTTTGGGTTGCTTTTGATTGCATTAATATGCAAATATGGTTTAGTTGGTTGCTTGTAAACATGGGTTTCCAGTCGTAAAGAATGAGAAAGGAATATGCTAAAATTATTACTAACATGGTTGTCAACTGTCGAATTTCTTCGTGCAGATGCATACCCTTTTGAGCCTCCCAAAATGCAGTTTACGACCAAAGTTTGGTAGGGCGAATTTATGATCGTATCTCATCCTCTAGTTCTTTGTCTTTTTATTTTGCTTGTTCATTTGACCACACACTGAATATCATTGAAATGTCTTACATTTCTGTTTAGATTATATTGCATATAAGAGTATACAATAGGAAAATAGACTTTAAATTTCCGGGTTTGATAACACTGAAAAAAGAACCCATTAACAATAAAGCATGAATGGACAAGTCATAGTGACTTTTGATTGGGAATTAGAATTCCTTTACATTATGTTTGGATGATGGAAATAAACTTGGGATTTTGACAAAAGTCAGATGTTATAAATTGACATGCCCCAATTCCCTTGTTTGAATTCGTAAACATAGAAATTTGGAATTTCCACGTGGAAAAAGAACCCGGAATTTCGGACCTCCAATTCCCAAGTTTAAATTCTATGTAGATAGGTGTCATTTCCCAATTTCCATGAGTGAGAGGTTAAAAATAACAATTTCCATATTCAGAATCCGTAAACAAGAAAATTCACAAATTCTAGATAACAAAATTCTGTCAATTTAAAATTCTTTAGTAATCTTAAATTTCCTCATCCAAACAGAGTGTTAAGTTTTAAGTCTTTATGTAGTCAACCGAGATTACAGTACATTGACAAACCATTGCATGTATGTACCAAGGGTTGAAGACAAGTATTTTGTAATTCTTGATAACATGAACTGCAAGTCGGGGACTTGATTGAATTTTCTTGATTTGGCTTGGAGGTCAATATTTGATCCCTACTGTATCACTTTGACTGCACTTTATAATGTTAGGTAAAAACAGTTTGCATTTCCGAACAAAAACAACCAGGTGCCACTGTGTCTGCCACTGTTTGTAAATAAAATTTCTAAAGTAGATGAATTTGAATACTCAAAGAAACGATATTCATAGAGATTCTTCATAATTTTCTTTTGTGTATGTACATCATCTGTTGAAGGCACCCTAATATTAGCAGTCAGAGTGGAGCAATTTGTCTTGATATATTGAAGGACCAATGGAGCCCAGCTCTCACATTGAAGACAGCACTTCTATCTGTACAAGCTTTGCTTTCTGCTCCTCAGCCGGATGATCCTCAAGATGCTGTGGTGGCACAACAGGTCTAAACCCGCTTTTGTCCTTTATCCATTGATTCTGGTTTAGCCACGTATGCGTCTATGACTTGATGTTAGATTATGTTTAGTGAATGTGTAGTCCTCGCAGAGTATCAGACTCGCAATGGATTGCTGCTAATCTGGCCCTGATGATGCCTCTTATGTATTTATTCCTGAAATTCTTCTCTTTCTAAATTACTACCTCTATGGTGATACTGCAGTATCTGAAAGATTATCAGACCTTTGTTGGCACAGCTCGGTACTGGACAGAAACATTTGCTAAGAAATCATCTCTTGGGATTGCTGAAAAGGTCAGTGTGATCCCGCCTTCTCTTTGATGGAAAGAAAACAGAAAATGTTCGAAACATAATTCACCCTAAAAAAAGTACTCCTTTGAAAGAAAACTCAACAGTTCTACTATCTTATTAATAACTTACAATGAAATTATCCTCAAATCTGGAGATCTATTAAGCTGGTGGATCCATTACAGGTACAAAAGCTTGTTGAGATGGGTTCCCTGAAGCTCAGGCAAGGAGTACTTTGGAAGCCGTTGGCGGGGATGAGAACTTAGCCCTCGAAAAGCTTTGCTCCGGTTAGCCAAAAAGAAAAGCTTTGTTCAGTACACAAATGATAGCTGCCAGCAGAGATTTGATATTTAAGTATATAAGCTACCCACTCTAAGATGCTGGAAAGTATACTGACATCAAGGATTAATTGGATATAAAGCTTTTCTATGTTTAGTTTAGATTTTTTTTCATCTTTTCTAATGCTTTGCAGACTGTCTCTATCCTTATTGACCAAGTATGTTAAAATGTGGAACTTGGGTAAAATTTTTATTTCAGCATCATTGTTCTTTCACCAAAATCAGCCTGGCAGAAAATTCGGGGGGCATCGGTTGGAATTGGAAATGCGTGTTTGTTTCCAGGGACGGAATGTGCTTCTCTTTGGTGTTATGTCTATCATCGATGTTGTGTTCTTGAAATATTGTTCTAACACTCACCCGAAAATTCAAAAGTTTCGCAATATCTGTGGTGAAATGGGGTGTCCGATGATGGACGAATTGGGGTTTCGGTCAGATCTTTAGACATGAGTACGGTGTCTTGTGTTAATGCTTTTTCGGTGGTTCATTGCGACTTTTTTCTGCAATACCAGTAGTGGAGGGGGATTTGTGTCTAGGACCTCCGATGCAGGGGTAATCGTTCTTAACCACTCGAGTACAAGCTCCGTGAGGTTCATTGTGGGTAGCTATTTAGTTCCTGCTTCTTGGTGACTTTGGATCATTCTTATTTTCTCGGGTTTACTTGTTTCTACACCGGTGTTTCTTGTTCTCTCATCTTCTGTCCCAATGGCTCCTCTCCCTTGGAGTCGAGGTTCTGTGTTCGATTCTCTCTTTCTTAGCATTGCATCCATTGATAGGACTCCACTCTGTCTACCCCCAGTTTTCGTACCAAACTCAAACGTTTACGCAAAGAAAAGAGAGACCTCAATTTCTGGTACCTGCATTATTTACTTCTTATATTAATAAATGCATAAACAAAATGAATAAAAACTAATTTGCACTTCTCATTATTTGATGTGCATGGGAAGAGAAATGCCAAATACAATTAAAAAAAAGGCACAAAATGCATCTGCATGCGTAAATGTGTAACGATTTTGTACTCTATTTTTAGTCATCTGCCTCTAAATTGAATATTTTGTAATTTTTTTTTGCATCACAAGTGCATGGAGCTAAAGAAAGAGCGTTTCGGAAAATACACATTACGAAAAATACACGACGCGAAGAAACGAAGCACATTTTAAAGTGATTAATAGCAATGGTAAACAGCGACTCTCCTTGAAGGAGGAAGTTGACACATGATGAAGAAGGCCATTGCAAGCACCAACGCCAGCACCAGCCCCAGCAATACGTCGTCGGAATCCGAACAGCAGATGAAGCTTCCCATCTTCCTCTCCCTCCTTCCTTCCCAAACTTCTGTGTGCTTTTGTTTCCAGAACTTGAAGAAATAAAATTAATCGGTTGAAGGGTTTAACTAGTGAGTTTTATGCCCGTTTATCCACCACAGATCATAGAATGCAGCCAATGGGGAGTTGACACGTCTTGTTCAATAATGTTGTGATTCTTTTACTTCTAGTGGTTTTAGTTTGTCCCTGCTTTGTGACTAGCAGTCGTTTTGTGGATTCTGCAACCTATACGTGCTTCTAGTCAACTCTTTTCTCTTTGTATCAACAAGTATGACGGTTTAAAGAATATAAATTTCTCTTAATCAGTAAGTGAGGTTTCAAATTCGACTCACATAAATAATGAGGACATATAATATCTCATTTGAGTTTGATCCTTAGTTTCAGATGATCTATTGTGTTGCTAATGCTTTCCCATCTCCTCTGAGAGTAGAATATCCCTCCTCCGTGTGGTGCAATATCAAGCTTCCGATTTATAGGAGTCAAACTTGAAACCTCATGCAAGTAAACAGAATTATCACTAAATTTTAGCACATATTAATTACTCGTTTTGAAGTCCTTTGAAAATGACTAAAATCATTTTTAGAGAAATGTTTTTAGATTCTAAAAGCACTTGAAGTGCTTCTTCCACTAATTATGTGCTTTTCCAAGTTCACTTGAGTTTTTACTAAAAATTGGTTTTAAAAATATTTTCACCAAAAACGATTTCAACCATTTTTAGAAATACTTTCAAACAAGTTTAAATATTTGCCATTGTACAAATATATGATGCTTAAGCCGTATAGAAAATAACAATTAATTTTTTTCTTCTTATTTTGGCATTTTGACAACAGAAAGTTAAATTCCCAGCAAAAAAGAGAAAAAATCTCGACAGGCCCAGTTCACAAAACCAGAAGGTGAAGTCCAAAGATTTGGGCTTCTTGATTGGACTGCTTGTAAGAAGTTTCGAAAACATCATTTACACACTGACTGAACCTTTTCACCTTTGTTTCGTAGCTCGGAATATTTAAACATGCGTTCAAAGTCGTCCTTTTTCTGCTACGATCGCTTGTACGACCCGACAATGTCACCATTTTTGACATTTCTTCTTTTTATTAAACAAAATAATAATGTTAGGATTTTGACTTTAGTTTTAAGGTGTCAAACTTTGAAATAGGAACACGTTGATATTGTGGTCATTGAAAATGAAATGATCATAGAAAATACAATTGCTTGTGATTAAATAGTGAGTGGTGAATTTATAGTTCAACAAGAATTGTTTAAAAAAATATGTCCAATAAATATACAATACCATTAAATGGTTGATAATATTTTAAACATAAGATCATCATATGTAATCTCATCTTTGAATTCACAATGACAAATAAGTTCAATATCACTAATATATTAGTTAAATTGATCCACGTTACATATATGCTAATCAATATAATTTTAAAAAATGTGATACGTTAGTTAAATTTGATACCCTGTTTTAGCTTCAGCATAATCTACCATCAACATCACCAACTTAATTTAATGACTGATTATTAGGTGTGAGGTTTTATCACAAAAGATATCGATGATATTAAAAACCTCACACACAAACTGTATTCAAACGCGAATCCACCTTGGGGCAAGGAGGGTCAACTGACCTCCCCAAGCTTAGAAATCTTCCACGAAAGAGCTAGGTATTGCCCCTTGAAGATATGAGTTGCCCTAAAAGTTGCCTCCAATTGCTTGACGAATTCTCTATGGCACTGGGCAGGGCGGCTGCTAGCCTCATGCTTTGGTATGCGTTGCTATGTGCATCTTTCAATATGCTTACTCGACATATGTTGGTATCTGTTGGCATGCTTGCTCAAATACTATTGACTTCCGTCGACATGCTTGCTCAGAAGCTGTTGGCTTCTGTTGACATACGTGCAGTATGATTGGGCAAATGACCACAGACCTTCCAAATCTCGATGAGATGCCAATTTACATGTTATTTTGCCCAAAAACTATTTTGCGCTTGCCGTGCTATTCTTATTAACTCTCTAATTATATTTCCTGATCTGCCACTGACTGTATTTAGTTTTATTACATCTTCGAAGTAAGACTTCATGGTTCTTTAGAATCAAGATGAAAAGAACGAGAGGTTTGGTGAATATACTCATCACTACAAACCGATGAGTGAAGATTGATGACATCCAACCTATATTTTTAATTTGCCATTCTATTCCACCTAACTCAAATGTGACTCATGCAGCAAGTAAAAATAAATTAAATTGAGCGGAGCAATGAATGAAATGTTTGATGTTTCTAGAAAAACCTTGGCATGCTCTGTCCTTTCCTTGCCTTTTTATTATTTTATGAAAGCTTGAATCATCTAGTCAATGACAGGTCAATTTTCCATTTAATCACCAGCACTATAAACTTGACCTTTAATTTGTTTGACTCAATATCATTTCTTTTAGAGGATATATTCACACACTTATTTTTAATTTTTTACATACTTTTCTTAATTATCGATAAATAAATCGAATGAATTTAAAAATATCAATAAACAAAAATTAAGAGCGTTGTGAAATCTCGTCTAGTGTCATCTTTTTATTATCAGTTAATCAGTTAGAATTTTCGGGTGTAGCCACGTAGGATGTAAATTTCGTCAATTGAAAATACAATTCTTTACTGGTAGTAGCCATGCAATCAAACCACCACAAATTGACAAAATCTTGGTGCCTGCAATTGCAATTCTACTTAAATTCAACTGCAAGTTTTGTTTCTTTGTTTCTTGTAATAAATGTGAGTATCCAACCTATCTTACCCTTTTTAATAGGTTCGGTGGGGTTGGTAGAATTCATTTTCATTTCATTTTGGTTGCTGGAAACACGACTAAATACACCTAGTGTTATAATATAATTTGTCAAAGTTTTTTTTATCACACCAAGTTACTAATTAATTATAAGGAAAACTAATAAAAGAAGGTTTGAAAACTTTGAGTTTTAACGATAAGGACAAAATAAAAGGTAAAGTGAATAGCACTAGGATTGACTTTTTAGTGTGAAAATATGATTTTTCGTTAAAGTGAATAGTATCATAAGCTTTTCGTTAAAATTCTCTTAATCATATTGTTCCACTTTGTATATCTAACTATTTCCGATACACTGAAAAATCTCTCAATTTAATGCTTATCAAACTATTAATTATTACTCATTCTTTATCACTTTACTTTTGCACAAAATTGGCTTCCTTTTCACTCTAGGTCGAATTATTCAGCCGTCCAAAACCGAAAGAACTACTTTTTGTTGTTAGAGTGGATCATTTTTTGGATTGGTGTTAATTTACCGGTTGTATTTGAAGTGGCATGAGGCTGAATTGGTGAATGTTACTTAAGCATTGGAGATATCGATGAGAGGTGTAGATCGATAAACAACGAAGAGAATGTCAATGTTATAAGAACCATCTACTTTTTTCGGTTCTTTTTCTCATTTTGTAATGTTGTTTGATTATTAAAAGAGTAATGTTATTCATACCATATTTTTGTACTGGATTTTCATACCACCTTAGATGACATTTGATGCGAACAAGCATATCATTTGAATTAATCAGATTTTTAAATTTAGTTCATTATTTAATAAACTAATAATTAAGAAAAACTAGTTAATTAAATGATAATTGTGGTATACGAAAAATCTTTTTCCTTCTTTTCCTTGGATTTTGCAAATTTTTCAAATGATGTGGCTGTCCACATCAGATGCCACCTAAGATGATATAGAAATGTGATATAAAAACATGATATAAATAACATTACTCTTATTAAAAATATCTACTTTCTAGATTACCTTATAAAAATCAACTCTGCACAAAATAAATCAAACCAAAAATTCAACCTCATGCCACTTTACTAGCGTTTCGCTATAA